CTTAATATTCCGATTAAGGAATGACCTGAATCTAATCAAGAAAAATGTCAGACAAATCCAAATTGAGAGGCATTCTACCAAATAACTAGCCTAAACTCTTCAAAGAAAAGTCCAGATCATGGCCAGATATGGTAGCTCATGCCTGTGATCTCAGCACTTTGGGAGGCTGAGACAGGAGAATCAGTTGAGGCCAGGAGCTCGAAACCAGCCTGGGTAACATAGCAAGACCTGTCTCTGCAAAAAATAAAAATAAAAAATTAGCTAGGCATGGTGGTGCACACCTGTAGTCCCAACTACTTGGGAGGCTGAGGTGGGAGGATTAACTGGGCCCAGGAGTTTGAGGCTGCAGTAAGCTATGATCATGCCACTGAACTCCAGCCTGGGCAACAGAGCAAAACTCTGCCTCTAAAAAAAATAAGTCCAGGTCATGAAAAAGATAAAGAAAAACTGAGAAACTGTTCCAGATTAAAGGAGACTAAAGTTACATGATAACTAAATGCACAGTGTGATATTTGACCACATAAAAGATCTGAGTAGGACAAACTGGCAAAATGTGAATACGGTCTGTAGGTTAGATGATAGTGGTATATCAATGTTAACTTCTGGATTTGAGTAATTGTATTACTGGTTATGTAAGAGAACGTCTGTATTTTTAGGAATACACATCAGAGCATTTAGAGGCAAAGGGGCATAAATGTTTGCAACTAACAAACTTTTTACTTCAAAATTTTTTAGATAGAGAGTGCCAAAAAAAAGCATATACAGTTTAAGAAAGGAAAAAATTGGCCGGGCATGGTGGCTCAAGCCTGTAATCTCAGCACTTTGGGAGACTGAGGTGAGAGGATTGCCTGAGCCCAGGGGTTCAAGACCAGCCTGGGCAGCTTGGCAAGACCTCACCTCTACAATAAAACAAAAATAGCCAGGTGTGGTAGCACACACCTGTAGTTCTAGCTACTTGGAAGGCTGAGGCAGAAGAATCACCTGAGCCCAGCAGGTTGAGGTTGCGGTGGCTGTTAAGCATGGCACTGTACTCCAGCCTGGGTGACAGAGTGAGACTTCGAATCAAAAAAAAAGGAAAAAAACTGTATTAAAGTCGTAATACTCAATATATACCAATAACAAAAGATGAATACAAGTCACGTTTGACTTCTGCAATTTCAAGAAGCACTTGGAGTCCAGACACTTCTGATAATGGTGAGCTACTGCTTGTGCCCATCTGTGTCGCTGCGCATATGTGTCAATTTCTTTCCAAAGTACCTCCAGTGTAGCCAGTTTTCTATGGTACACCACATCTTTTAAGGTCCCCCATAGGTAGAAGTCAAAGAGTATGAAGTCAAATACCACTTTAAGATGGACTTGTGCTCCCCAAGTGACAACCATGTTTCCACCATTTTCTCTGGCTGTCCTGCCTGTCACATGGGACACTAGCATTCATTTGATTAATGCCATCTTTTGAGCAACGTCACCCTACACATTGCTACCTCAGTTCAATTCAACTTCAAAAAGTAATACATAGATAATGTCTCTTAAAATGTGTATACAGTTTATGGCATTCCTGGTATCTATCTAAAAATTTTTTTATGAGTGGATTGCCTGAGCCCGCAGGTTCAAGACCCGCCTGGGCAACTTGGCAAGACCTCAGCTCTACAATAAATCAAAAAATTAGCCAGGCATAATAGCGCATGCCTGTAGTTCCAGCTACTTGGAAGGCTGAAGCGGAAGGATCTCCAGAGCCCAGCATATTGAGGCTGCGGTGGCCGGGAGCATACCACTGCACTCCAGTCTGGGTGACAGAGACTCCAACTCAAAAAAAAAAAAAAAAAAAAGAAAAAATTTTTTAATGGAGAGAATGAAAGAATAATAAAGTTAATTGTGTCTACGTAACAGTCAGGAAAGCTGGGTAAAGTGAATTCCATATACTGTTTTTGCAAATAAAAAAAGATTTTTACTCCTATAAATGGAAACCAAAAAAAAGGGAAACTCCAAGTAACTAGCAGAATGTGAGAGCTGCTTATAAAAATGAGAATGTTCTCAATCTTGTCTCGTTTGCACTTTCCTCTGGAGTCCCAGGTCTGATTTTGCTTTTCTTCCTTTCTTGTGCCATCTCAACCCTCACTTCCCCATCTCCACCCTTGTCATTTTTTTTTTCATTATCTGTCTTTAGCAAATTATTTCACTCCCAAAGGTCCTTAATATTTCATAATTTTGGAAATGACTATATTTCAAAATAATCAATTATCCTGGAGGGTTCTGTTATTTTGCTAACTTAAAAATCAAGGGGGTTTAATGTTTTTAAGTCTGGCACTTAAACCTTCTACAAAATGAAAGTACTTCTTACTTTACCATGATCAATCAAGTAGCCTGTTTCTAGAATGATGAAAACCACACATTACAGAATTTCCTTTTTTTTTTTTTTTTGAGTTGGAGTCTTACTGTCACCCAGACTGGAGTTCAGTGGCCGCTCCAGCGATCCTTTCGCCTCAGCCTTCCAAGTAGCCGGAACTACGCTACCACGCCCGGCTAATTTTTTTATTTATTGTAGAGATGAGGTCTCACCTGCCCAGGCGGGTCTCAAACCCGCGGGCTCAGGCAATCCACTCACCTCAGCCTCCCAAAGGCGCGTGATTATAGGCTCAGCCACCGAGCCCGGTTCCTTTTTTTTTTTTAAGAGACAGGGTCTCACTCTGTTGCCCAGGCTGGAGGGCAGTGGCATGACCATAGCTCACTGCAGCTTCGAACTCCTGACCTCAAGCAATCTTCCTGCCACAGCCTCTCAAAGTGCTAGAATTACAAATGTGAGCCACCATGTGAAAGAAGTTCGGCACCAGTAATGACTCCACACCCGGCCAGGACCAAGAGATTTATTAAAAGGGGTTGTTACAGAGGGGATCTGTAACGGGAAAAAAGGAAAAGAAAGAGAGAAAGAGAGAGTAACAGAGAGAGAGGAAGTGGGAGAGAGGCGGGGAGAGAGCTGCAGAGGGGGAGAGAGATGCAGAGAAGGAGAGAGCGACAGAGAGAGAAAGAAACAGAGACCTAAAGAGAGTTGCTGGGAGAAGGCTGCACTTATCAGCCTGACAGGGGCCGGAAGGGGCTGTGCCATGCTCCTATTGGAGGAGCTGCATGGGAGCAGGGTGGGGCCAACGCCGTGTTATACTCCTATTGGACGCATAACAAAGTTGGCTACGGATTGGAGGCTTGCAGGTTTGAAATTGGCACGCAGGAAGGTTTGAAATTCGTGCGCACGCAGAATTGTGCTCACAGAAGCCGGGACCTAGAGCCTCTGTTGTCTGGTGTGTCGGCGCCATTTCGGGAGCCACCCCTCTGGTCGCTTCCTGCACCCTTCACCATGCCCAGGGTGGAATTTAATTTTAAAAATAAATGATCTAAGCCTATATATTTTTTAAAAATCCAAAGCTCATGTACCAAATAATAGTTAGGCTTATTAGCACCATGCCAACACCGGAGAAGTACTGACTGACTGAGTGAAAGCATTCTCAGGTGTGATTACTAATATTCTACATTCTGTGACACTTCAATTAGTAAGGAGCATGATTTGCTTTTGTACCTTGCTCCCACTCCAAAAAAAGGGCAGCAGTAAAGATTTTGCTTCATATAGTTCCTAAATCCAATTTACAACCTGAGAATTAGGTTCAGAGAGACCCTATGGCATGAGAAGATGCGAACACTACCAAAACTTGGCGGGGCTGGGAAGGAGGGGGCCGAGACTAAATTCTCCAAAACAGAGATAAAAACCAAAGTACCAAAGAGAGCTGCAGAGGGGGAGAGAGCTGCAGAGAGGGAGAGAGCGACAGAGAGAGAGAGAGAAACAGAGACCTAGAGAGAGTTGCGGGGAGAGGGCTGTATTTATCAGCCTGACAGGGGCCGGAAGGGGCTGTGCTATGCTCCTATTGGAGGAGCTGCATGGGAGCAGGGTGGGGCCAACGCCGTGTTATAGTCCTATTGGAAAGTGTCTAAATGACATAGAGCTTCCCCCCATTTTTCCAAGCAAGACTATACTACGTGCTTCAAGATACTCCTGAACATTTTCCAACTTTGTAGCAACTGTGATCATCTTCTTTCTATTTACTGGGAATCTTTCTCTTTGGGCAACTTCTTACGTAAACTATTCCTGGGCCAGATTAAGTACACTGGAAGACAAATATCAAATAATTTATGGTAATCATCTAAGTGTTACACAGCACTTAAAATAACATAAATTCAGATTTAATGCACTAAAATTCAAAACTGGTAGCTTGCTAATTACTTGATCTTACATTTCTATACATACAATGAAACAATGTAGCATTTTTTGTGTGGACTGAAAACCTACTAAACTCATTAGCTGGTACTTTACTTTGACTAACCAGACTTTGATAAGGTGGCTGCTATTCTGTGAGACTAGAAACCTTTCAAATAGGTGGCAGGTTCCATTTTGAAAAGCTGCTGTGAGAAGCTGAGTTCTCCAGAAGGCGACATACAGGGTGAAACAGGCATCACGGATGTTAGACACTGCCCCAGCTGCATCGTTGCAAGGGGGGTGGTGGGTAGGGGGGATAAGCACAGCCCCCAAAAGAGCAGTTCTCATTTCCCTCATCTCCGTATCTTCCTAAATTTTTTTTTTTTTTTGAGTTGGAGTCTCACTCTGTCACCCAGACTGGAAGGCAGTGGCCGCTCCCGGCCACCACAGCCTCAACCTGCTGGGCTTCGGCGATCCTTCCGCCTCAGTCTTCCAAGTAGCTGGAAATACAGGTGTGCGCTACCACACTCGGTAAATTTTTTTTTTTAATTGTAGAGATGAGGTCTTGTCAAGTTGCCCAGACGGGTCTCGAACCCGCAGGCTCAGGCAATCCACTCACCTCAGCCTCCCAAAGCGCAGGATTACAGGCTGAGTCACCGAGCCCAGCTCGCATCTTCCTAATTAACTCAGCTTTGTGTCTATTATGAATAGCATCAAATGGAAAGGCTCCAATTCCACATTCCTCTTCATTATGCACAGCTTATTAAAATTGAAATTTCACTGTTTTCAACTCGACCAAATTAGTGGTGCACACTGCCATGCGCTATTAAGAGTGAGGCATTCATCTTATGAGTTGGATCGGGACAAACATGGCCTGAATCAAAGCTGGAACCAATCAGAAACTTCAAGACTTTGAGTTCTAAGCTGCCACGTGAGCCTAGGAACATCACACTCTTCCTGCATGGCAGTTCCTCAATCTGGCAGGCCAGGACGATGGGATGGTGCCCCTCCCTCAGCTTCTCTGGACTGAAAAGTCAGAGCTGAGAAGAACAGTTTCCAGAGAGGCCCTTTTCATTGGGAACTTGTTTCCCATTCCCAAATAAAAGCATGTGTCTATCAGAGCCTGTCCTCCTGCTTGAAAGGACAGCATATCCAAGAAACCTAGAAAGGAATGAAAATCCGCACACCAGCCCCTCCAGGCTGGTACCTGCTCTTCTTCAATCCTGCGCTGTAGTGTTTCAATATAATGCTGGACGGCCATATAGATAAATCGGTACTGTGCTTCTGTCTGGACCATTCCTGACCTCTGAGATCGCACCATCTGGATGGTTTTGGGAACGTCAATGTCGCAGTCAACACCTACAAAGTAAACACCATGAAGAATCAGGAGAGACTGCAGAGCCAGGATGAAATAGTTTCACACACAACTTCTAGGATCTCAGAGAAAAAGTTGATTTCATCTTTATGTTTTCACTGAACATGTTCCGAAGGCTACAGCACTGAGCTTCTGGCCCAGAAGGTTCCATGATGGTACATGATGAAGGGAGGGAAGGCAGGAGCCCCTCACTTTCCAACAGCACCCCTCTTACTACAAGCAAGGTTAGGGGGCTGGTAGACACCACCACTGCATGGACAGAAGGCCATGGACTTGGGATTCACAGTTCCTGGACTTCATTTTATGCCAAAAACTCAAACTGCATCACTTCTGTTCTAGGCAGACAAATTGAAGATTTTCCGTCCAGGTTTTTGTGAAAAATGTTTCACATCCAACTTCTCCTTCCTGGGCTATTTTCATGAGCACTTTCCTTCCACAAACTAACAAGAGGAACTGTCACTCCTTGCCCTCCAGATGACCTACCTTTCTCTCTGATGATGTCAATAAGGATATCAATCACAATGAACGTCCCTGTCCGGCCAATTCCAGCACTGTGGGCAGAAGGACGAAAAGCAGGGACAGCACAGTCATTCATGAGGACATTCTACTCAAAATCTATTAATATTAACAGAAGCAATGCCTGCTCTTGAGAGTTATTTATAAGATTGTCTATTTATGTCTGAAAATGTGCTGACAAAATCATAGGGCTTTAGAGTCAGGCCTGACCCCACTCTTGGAGTCCAGCTTCTCCAATACAATGTGCCTGAGGCAAGTCCCTTAACCTCTCTGACCCTCAGTTTACTCATCTGCGAAATGGGAACAACAGCTTATACCTTACAGGGTTTAGTTGTTGTGAGGATTAAATGTTTAAATGTAAATAAATGTACCACAAAACACTGTGCTCAGAGTCTGGGACAGAGCAAGTGCTCAATAAATGGTAGTTTAAAAAAAAAATTGGACACATAAGAAGTTTCGCATATATCTACTTCCTAATGAGATCTAGGAAACCAAACTTTCACCAGTATAATCATGAAGCCCAGGCTTGAGCATAAGCAGCCCACAGCCTCTGGTACAGAGGCCACACCACAGCTTCCATTAAGGCCTTGGCAGAAAGCAGCTGGAATCTTGTGAAGCACATACGTATTGTTCAGGAGAAAAATATACTTTATTTTTATGGTAGAAGAGAACAGACTCACAATCAAAGAGATGAATCCTAAATTATTATTTTGTTTTTTTTTAAATAGAGATGAGGGTCTCACTATGTTGCCCAGGCTGGTCTCAAACTTCTGGCCTTAAGTGATCCTCCTGCCTCAGCCTCCCAAAATGTTGAAATTACAGGTGTGAGCCACCATGTCCAGCATAAATTACTATATTAAAAAAGAAAACCCCAGGGATTGGGAAAATCTCTTCAGGGGTAATCACTTTGATCAGTATGAAGAAGGACACCTGGAAATTGAACAAGCATCTCTTGACAAGCCTATAGAATCGGTAAGATAATCATTGCTTAATTTTGGGTCTTGACTAATTAGTTAGGTAGTGTTCGTGTGACACTTGATGTGAATGAAGTTAAACTTCTTAATAACCTATAGTACAGTTTAGAGCTGTTTTCTTGCATGCCCTACAGTAATCAAATAGATTTGGGATGTAATCTAATACTTAAATGTATTGGGAAATCAGTCCAAAAAATCTAGAAACAAATTAGAATTTTGATGGAAAAATATCTTTTGGGCCCATATTGATGTTCTGTTAAAGATAGCAAGTTCAAGTTTAGTGTTTTTGTAAATTGAACAAAGGAGTAAAATGTATTTTGATCCTTTAATAGCTTCACCTTTCCTGGACAATGTAATGTAATGTATGGAATGTTCCATAAGAAATAGCTAAGGGGTAATATGTTTTATTTACCAGACTCTTATGAAAAAAGAAAACCACACAAAAATAACTAGATAGCTCTTCAAGAAATCAGGTTCATGCCCACCCCATCATCCCAACACCTGGCAGTTCTATAGGGTCTATGAGAAATATACTGTAGGATCAAAATGTTCCTTATTGCAGTTTCTCCATGCCTCAAATAGATATTGCATTTTTCCTACAGTTAAGAAGCTGGGCAGATTTTAAAAAGTCCTGGGCACTAGGAGACAGATACAGGCTGTGGCCTAGAGGGGCACAGGGGCTGTCACCTGCAGTGCACCACGACTGGCCCTGCATCCATGATGCTCTCCTGCTTATGGTGCACCTCCTCCAGGAAGTCCAGCACACCCCCAGGGTCACTGGGCACGCCATGGTCCGGCCAGGTCCGAAAGTGGTATTGCCAGACCGTTCTCTCCGTATTCCCCTGGAGTAGAGCCAAGAAAAACCAGAAAAGAATTAAATAAATCAAGGGGTGGAGGAATCACCTGGTTCTGAGCTTCCCTAAATCCTGTGTGAGCCAGTGGAGCTGGCGGTTCGAGGTTGTTCTCACATTCCATCCAAAGTCCTTTGCGGGTCTCCAGAGCTCCCCTTTCAGATCGGCTAGGCCATCCCAGAGGCAGCTCTTTTTGCCTCAGCCATGAGCACTGGGATGTCTAGAACGGTAGTTTGTTCCTTCAGATGACTACACACTGAGTAATCTCTCTGAATCACCAGCAGCAGGTAACATGCCTCCCCATCCATGTGGGGCTCAGCTTCATTGCCACCAGGAATTTGGATCTCTCCTCCCAGCAGATGAGGAAACAGGAATTCCCTCAAGACATACGGTCTTCTTTGTCTTTTTATATCTAGCCCTCCCTGCTGTGTGTTCTACATAATACTCGACCAAGGAAGGAATAAGGAGTACAACAAAAAAGAACAACTGTTGAAGTCTCTGACTATGGGGAGATGAGGTTAATGGCCTCGACTCCTGCAGAGGCCTCCTGACAGGCCTCAAGTCCACTCAGGTTACCCCATCCCATGCTCCCAGCCCAGCACTCTCAGAGACTTTCCTGTCACATGGCCCTGATGTGCTCACATGGCACAAGAACAGCCACAGGTTACATGCAGACTGACAAAGTTCACATTCCTTAAGATGACAGTTAGACTCTTCCAGTCATTCCTTGAAAGGGGGTCTCAGAGAAAAGAAAAAGAGTCTTCCTGACTTGGCCGTAATCCCTCTCTATGCAAGTTTAGTCCCTCAATTCCCTTTGAATTTCAGTATCATGACCCAAACAACATCTCACCCGGGAGGCCCTCTCCTCACATCTTCTCCCATAGATATGCAACTCTCGAAGACCCAGCCTCTTCTAAGATGGCTTCCTGGATGCCTCACCTAGAAGGCAGCCCCAGTCCTTGCAGCACCACAGCATATGAAATGTGCACTACAGCCCTCACCTGTGTGGAGCGCAACCATTTGTACAAATGGTTTCTTGCTGCTATGTGACTATAAACCACGGGAACAAAGGTAGTTTCCTTCATCTTTGTGTCCCCAAAAGAATTGAATAAGCAAGCCCCTATAAACATGAAATTAAAATGAATCCAAATTTAATTCCTTTTTGTCTCGTAAAAATAGTCACTCCAGAACCAATTTTTTTTTTTTTTTTTTTTTTAGTTGGAGTCCCACTCTGTGGCCCAGGCTGAAGTGCAGTGGCACACTCACAGCCATCCCAGCGTCAAACTGCTGGGCTCCAGCGATCCTTCCACCTCAGTCTACTAAGTAGCCAGAACTACAGGCGTGCACTACCACGCATGGCTAATTTTTTGATTTATTGTAAAGATGAGGTCCCGCCAAGTTGCCCAGGCTGTTCTCAAACCCATGGGCTCAGGCAATTCCCTAACCTTGGCCTCCCAAAGTGCTGGGATTACAGGTTTGAGCCATCACGCCTGACTTTTTTTCCAAGATGTGGGGCATATGTCAGGATTAAGTACATAAATGGTCTATGTGCAGGTGAACCAATCTTGAATTATATGCAATTAAGAAGATCTGATGGGCCAGGCTCAGTGACTCAACCTGTAATCCCAGCACTTTGGGAGGCTGAGGCAAGTGGACTGCCTGAGCCCGTGGGTTCAAGACCAGCCCAGGCAACTTGGCAAGACTGCATCTCTACAATAAAATTAAAAATTAGCCGGGCGTGGTAGCACGCGCCTGTAGTTCCAGCTACTTGGAAGGCTGAGGCAGAAGGATCGGCAGTCAACTGGGTCAACGCTGGGGTGGCCGTGAGTGTGCCACTGCACTCCAGCCTGAGCCACAGAGTGAGACTCCAACTCAAAAAAAAAAAAGATCTGATGTATGGAATTTGATTACAAACAGGCCTCAGGATCTTTGCATTTGCTGCTCTGCTTGGAACACTCGTCTCCCGACACTCTGGATGTCTGGCTCCCCCACCTGCAGGTCTCAGCTCAAGTGTCACCCTCTAGGGTCGCCTTCCCTATTTACTCCATCTCAAGTACTCAGTCACTCTGGAACATGACACCATGCAGCCTTAACAGACCAAGTTTTTACAACTATATACTCTAAGTACAACAAACTTTGTTGGCGATTTACTTTAGAATCTTCTATCTCCCTAGGCTCAGTGAGGACAGGGATTGTGCCTGCCTTGCTCACAATGTACCAGTAGTGCCTGAACTGTGCCTGACACATAGAAGGCACCCAATATGGCTATTGAATCAATGAATCAATGAATGCACGCCAACATGAGTAACTGCAAGACCCTGAGTTACAGCATACCCTAAACAGTTACCAAAGCCTCTAAAATACGACAATATACTTACTTGTCCAACCTTGGAAAGTTTAAGCTCTCTTAACGTATAGTCATGGGCGGCGCTCTCCTTGACATTCCGCACGCGCATGACTCCGTATTCTTTTAGAGCGCACTCATCGGGCCAGTATTTGACACATTTGCTCTGGAAGGGATCAGAGAAAAGACAGTCAATTCTGTGAACTCTGAAATAAAAGCCTAAATCAGCAGCAAATAAATGTTTAAGTCTTGCTTAATGACCACTAACATGGAAAACGGCCTGCCTCGCATCTGTTAGGTTTTCAAAGAAAAAGAAAGACTTCAAATGGGAAAACCAGGGGACCAGAGAACCAGGCAGAAGTGGAAAAAGAAAGGCAGGCACCCAGCACCATCTGATCCAAGCATTGTCAAAGGGGAGTCAGTTTGCTTACTTTTCTCTAAAAAACCAAGACACAAAGTGAAAGGAACCTACCAATTTGAGAATGCTGGTTGGCAACCACCAAAGTTTGGATTTTAGAACTCTGCCAGTCACTGCATAGAGAAGGCAAGCATGGATTCTACTCTGGAGGAGGACAGGCTGCTCAAACAGCCAGACTGTCTGTTTCGATTCTGCACCAGTGTGGGAGGACTCTATGCCTTATCTAACAAAAGTGCGAATGACTCCATTACAGAAAGGAAGCTCAGGGGGTTTTGAACCAGCTGCTTCTTTTATATCCAGATCCATCTGATTCCTACTCTACACGTCACTTTCCCTTAATTGAGTCCGGGGAACGCCAAGTCTGCAATAGCTGCCGCCTTTAAGAGCAGGCAGGACTAAAAAATATGGCACCAAGAAAATCATTCCTGCTGCCAAAAGGGAAGCAATTTTGCTCTGTAAGAGATGAGCTTGTATGTACTTGGTGATGGGTCCTGTGTTTTCTTGTTTTCTGGGAGCAGTCACCTATACCACTCACCTTCTAAAACTGCCAAGACACAAAGATCAGCGAGAGAATTTTACCTTGTATCTTAGGAAGACAGAGAAATGTACAGTTGTAAAACTGAAAATAAGAGAGCAGATAAAGACATCACAACAGTCAATGAATAATTGCAAGAAAAAAAACATGGAAAGAGGAAAATTCAATAGAAGGGTGTGGTCTAGCCGGGCTCGGTGGCTCAGCCTGTAATCTTGCGACTTTAGGAGGCTGAGGTCAGTGGATTGCCTGAACCCGTGTGTTCGAGACCTGCCTGGGCAGCGAGACCTCATCTCTACAATAAATCAAAAAAATCAGCCGGGTGTGGTAGCGCGCACCTGTAGTTCCAGCTACTTGGAAGGCTGAGGTGGAAGGATCGCCGGAGCCCAGCAGGTTGAGGCTGCGGTGGCCGGGAATGGTCTGCACTCCAGTCTGGGCGACAGAGTGAGACTCCAACTCAAAAAAAAAAAAAACAAAAAAAACAAGAAGGGTGCGGTCTTTTATTTACTATTACTATTCTGAGTTTAGCTCCCCCTCCAGTAGTTTGCAGAGATAAACATCTCTGTGAAAAATTTAATACAAATTTTGGTTCCCTCCAAAACCACATCTAATATTAACTGTTCTGATGCTATCGTCAATACTCCCAGTCACTACTAAGAACTCACTGGAGATCACGAAATTAAGTTATGACTCTGCAGAGAACATCTTAGCTGACTTTAAACTCTGCAAACGGTTGCAGACCTCCCCCCCCAGTTTTCCAAACTCTCATGTAAACCTTGGCAAACAAATTCTAAAATGTGAGAGTTCATTTATCATCTTTAAAAATAAGGTCCAAAGCCAGGCACAGTAGCTCACACCTGTAATCTCAGCACTTTGGGAGGCCAAGGTTGGAGGATTGCTTGAGCCCAGGAGTTCAAGACTAGTCTGGGAAACATATGAGACTTCATCTCTACAAAAAAATTTAAAAATTAATCAAGTGTGGTGGCACATGGCTGTAGCCCCAGCTACTCAGGAGGCTGAGATAGAGGGATGGCTTGAACCCAGGAGTTTGAGGCTGTGATGAGCTGTGATCATGCCACTGCACTCCAGCCTGGGCAACAGAGTGATGCCCTCTCTCAAAAATAAATAAATATAAATAAATAAAGCCCAGGAATCAAACAGAGTTCACAGTCTGGTTTTTCCTCTTGGGAATACCAAGAGTAGGTTGTCAGAAAGGCCAAAATAAAAGCCCACCATGGCATCCTCTCTGCGTCCCCTAAGTAAAGAAGAATGGGAAAGCAGGCAGAGACTGGGACAAGGTGATGAGGGGTGAGCCGATCCTAGCAGCTTCCAGCAGCTCTTCTGAAAGGGACTAATGCTGAGTCCACTGAAGCAACATAAGTCCCCTCTCTTCACAACCCCCAGCAGAAGGACGAGTAGTCTCTTATAGCACAACCAGAAAATAAGCAGGATGAGGGGCCTCGATCTTCCTGTCCACATGTAGGGCAAGGAACACTCGCCTGAAGCAGAAGCTATGACAAAAGCATGTCTACACGTCACTTTCCCTTAACTGGGTTCTGGGAACACCAAGTCTGCAATAGCTGCTGCCTTTAAGAGCAAGCAGACTGAAAAACATGGCACCAAGAAAATCATTTCTGCTGCCAAAAAGAAAACATTTGTTCCATAAGACATGGGTTTGTATCTAGACGGTGATGGGTCCTGGACAGACATTTTAATTGGTCCATTAATCCAAGAATACCTAACATTACTGCAGGCAGTTGCTGAAGGAAACCTGTTTCACGATGACCAGATATGGCCCCAAAGGTATTCAGAAGTACCAATTAGGAGTACAACAATGAAAATCTCAAAAAAAACAACAACACTGTCCTTCACAACTGATATGAAAATTACATTAGGAAGACTAAAATCCAAAATTCCCCATCTGTCTTAGGTTTAATTTATAGGTATGACTACTACATTCCATGCAATTCTTTATAAGCCAATTAAAGACCATCTAAAAAAAGAACTTTGCCTAGAACACAAACAAAAACACAGAACTTTTCAATATTAAAAAAGTCATCAGCGTGGTCTCACTTTAAGATAGCACAGAGGGCTGTCACTCAATAAGATCTGTCTGATTTTCTGTTGGGGTGGGATGTTACAATTTTTAAAAAAACCTGAAGTGTCTGTATAACCTAATCCTGAATTGTACCCCATATCTTTAAAATAAAAAAAATTTTTTTAATTTTTTTAAACTAAAGTGCCTTCAAGAGTGTGGATACATAGGTACCAAGGCAGATGTTGCTGGTGGTGGGAAACCTTGGGACAACCATTCTACAGGGCAGTTAGGCAAAGTTAATTAAAATGGACAATATGCCCATCCTATGACCTAGCAGTTCTGTATATCTAATCTAGAGAAATACTTGCCACATGAAAAGGAAGGCAAGAGCAACATTGTTCACTTCAGCATTCTTTACAAGAGCAAAAACTGGGACACTTAAAACCAACTACAGCATAATAGTTAAATAAACTATGGTACATCCATGTCACAGAAAATCATGCGATTGCTAAAAAGAATGAAATAGGCCAATATGTACTCACAGAGGAAGCTAACACATATATTTAATGGGAGGAAAACAATAACCAAGATGCAGAATAAGTTACTGTATGAAAGCACTTTTACAGTTAGAAAACCATACTATATACTTCTATAGGTACATATGTGGATCTAAATGCCAAGAAAATAGTGTCGAGGAATATACATCAAATTCAGAAGAGGGTTTTTATGTTTAGAGAATTAAAATGAGTAACCGGGATGGGCCCAAAGGCAGCTTTAACCTTAAGGCTAATGTGTCTGAATATTTACATGAACATATTGTTTGAATAATTTAAATTACTTTTTAAATGCTTAAAAGACATGATAAGTACAGTTTATATGGCCAGTAAAATCACTACTTATTAATTAGTATTCTAAACACCTGATGGGACTAGATAAGCTTTGTTTTTTTTTGAGTTGGAGTCTTACTCTGTTACCCGTGGCACATGCACGGCCACCCCCAGCATCTACCTTTTGGGCTGTGGCGATCCTTCTGCCTCAGCCTTCCAAGTAGCCGGAACTACAGGCATGCGCTACCATGCCCAGCTAATTTTTTATTTATTGTAGAAATGAGGTCTCACCAAGTTGCCCAAGTTGGTCTCAAACCAGCGAGCTCGGGCAATCCACTTGCCTCGGCCCCCAAAGTGCTGGGATTACAGGTTAAGCCACTGAGCCTGACCTTTTTTTTTTTTTTTTTTTTTTTTTAGTAGACAGAGTCCCACCCCATCACACAGGCTGGAGTGCAGTAGCACCATCATAGCTCACTGCAGCCTTGAATTCCTGGGTTCAAGTGATCCTCCCAGCTCAGGCTCCCTAGTAGTTAGGACTACGGGCATGTGCTACCATGCCTGGATAAGTTTTTCTTTTTCATTTTGTAGAGACAGGGTCTTGCTGTGTTGCCCAGGCTGGATTTGAAATCCTGGCCCAGGCAATCCTCCAGCCCCTGCAGCTGGGATTACGGTGCCAGGCCCATCTAAATAGGTCTTCTTCTTATACTCCCTTTTGACTTCTGCTTCTGAATACAATGGAGTCAAAGAGACCAGATTTACCTTCTCACCTTAAACAACTAAGAAAACTAAAAAAGTGAGCCAGGCATGGTGGTTTATGCCTGTAATCCCAGCACTTTGGGAGGCAGGGGCGAGAGGACTGCCTAAGCCCAAGGTTCGAAACCAGCCTGGGCAACATGGCGAGACCTCATCTCTACAATAAGTCAAAAAATTAGCCAGGCGTGGTGACGCGTGCCTGTAGTTCCAGCTACTTGGAAGGTTGAGACAGAAGGATCACCTAAGTCCAGCAGGTTGAGGCTGTGGTGGCTGTGAATGTGCCACTGCACTCCAGCCCAGGGAACAAAGTGACACTCCAACTCAACAACAACAACAACAAAAACTGGAAAAGTGAAATGACACATATAACAGAATTAAGAGACAAAAATAAGTTATTACATATATATACTCCATATGTTCAAAGGTTATCAAAAATGCTATACATGTTAAAAGGAGAGATACAGAAATATTAAAAGATCCAAATAAGACTTCTAGAGGTAAAATAATACAATGTCTGCTTTGAAAAATATACTGGCTAGGACTAAGAGCAGAAGAAAAGATTGACTTAAAGACAAAGCAAAAGGAGCTGTCCAAGATAAAACACAGAGAGGAAGAAAGAACCAAATCAAATGAACAAAGAGTCAGTAGGCCACAGGACAACCACAAGCAGTTTGATATATGTGTAGCCAGTGTCCTGGGGCACAGTCAGGTGGAATACATATGAGGTCCAATAACTAAGTTTGCAAATTATCCTAGAAAAAGTGCTATATACCTCGTTGCTGAATATCACAACAATCACCTTCAAAGTACTCCCATTTGGAAGCTATGCACTGGTACAGCACCTATTCCACCTGTCAAAGCGATTTTGGAACTCATTTTCTGGAATGGCCATCAGAGCTGTTGTCATTATTTATTGAGGTCTGACAATTAAGTTCATGAACTTGCCACAGTGTGCTTACATTGGTAGCACTGTACAAATAACTGTATCAGAACCCCCTCCCACTCACCTGATCTGGCCCCCAATGACTTTTTTCTTTACCCAAAGGTAAAGGAAATATTGAAAGGAAGACATTTGAAAACATTCAGGACATCAAGTGTAATACAAAGACAGCTCTGATGGCCATTCCAGAAAAAGAGTTCCAAAATTGCTTTGACAGGGGGACTAAGCACTGGCATCAGTGCATAGTTTTCCAAAGGAAGTACTTCAAAGGTGACTGTAGTGTTATTCAGCAATGAGTATGTAGCACTTTTTCTAGGATGAGTTCATGAATTTGTCAGACCTCATATTTGAAGGAAAAAAGTTGAACATTATCTAAATGTGAAGAAAATTACAAATCCACATATCCAAGAAGCTCAACAAATCCCAAGCAAAAGAAACAAAGAAAACTACACCAAGACACATCAGAACCAAATTTCTCTTCCTCCCTTTTTTTCAGAGGGCCAATTAAGAGTAAACTCGATGTACTTCTTCAGTTCCTAACATGGTCAACCTGACATGTCTGATATGTTAAAAATCGCTTATCAGAAAGTAAGATGACGTAATATACCTTTCCTCTCTCTACTTCTTTTGTTGTCATGACGATCACTCGGGAGTTTTCTTGGAACACCATCCGCCAAAAGTCATTCACTGTGTTTTGCAGGCAGCCTTGTGTGGCAATATAACTCTTTTTGGGTTTTGAATTGTTGCACTTGGTTTCAAATTCAGGCTAGAAATTTAGGAAGAAAATCCTTCAAACATCTGAAAATTGCTTTCAGGACACAAGGAAAGATTTAAAATACAAACCAGGCTAGCAATGTATGGTCAGAAAACACTGTGAAAAGCCAAGTTTACCATGATAATATTTGCATTGATGTAGTCTGAAACAGGCTCATTGGGATCACCATCGTGTAGGACGACTCTGGTATGATCGACTAGAAGAAAAAGATATTACAGTCACATAAGTACTCAAACTGCTTTGGGATAAATCAGTTCAAATCAGTTAATCCTCAACCTAGTCCAACTTTTTGTTCATTTAGTGGTAACACTACATAAAAAATTAAATCCCAAACAAGCACAACAGTAATGTGAACACTGCATGATACCTCATAATGCTGTCTTGACAATTTCCTGGTCTTGATAATATACTATGGGTACATAGATATATTGAAGAAAGCTGGGGGAAGGTACATGGAAACCTTCTATACTATTTTTTTAAAGATTAAAGTACAGATATGTAACACGATGTTTGAAATGTACTTCAAAATAATTGAAGAGAGAGAAGTGAGTCAGACTATAGATGAGAGAAGACTGGGTATGAGTTGATCACTATTAAGCTGGTGGTAGGTACATGTGGGATTTGTCTACTCTTGAATATACTTAAACATCTATAATAAAGAGGGTTTTTTTAGCGAAATACAATATCTAGAAGACAAGGTGCTGATAGCATCAAGTGTTCAAACTCTGAACAAAGATACATTATAGCTATACAAATCTTGAGTGTTCTACCTAAGCAACATATTTGACAATGGGAATTAGTAATATAGTTGGATGTCCTAACACAACAGTGTTCTTTTGCCTCAGACTCCATCTCTAAAGAAATGAGATGATAATCAGAGGAAATACCTGATTGAGACCTTTATGGGAAGAAAAGGTGATATTCTGTTTAGATATTGCATACTGTTGTTCACTTCATCTTTCCCTGCCTCTGATACCTTGTAAGTACCTTTAGACTCCTGGGCAGAAGTAAAAACTTACACATAAAAAAAGGTAAGATTTTCCCAAGGCCATTAGAATTGTACTACAGCTTAAACTGCTTCTCTGCCAATTCCTCTTTGCCTTTTCTTTTTTTCTCCCTCTTTGCCCCCATCTTCTCCATCCTTACCTACACACATTACAACTATTCATATAGATGTGAGATACACATACAAGGGAGAACCCACCCCAAAAAAAGGAATTTATTAAAAATTGTGCATTTATTCTTACTTTTTTAAAAAAGTTTTTTGTAGCGATGGAGTCTCGCTTTGTTGCCTAGTCTCAAACTCTTGGCCTCAAGTGATCCCCCTGCCTCAGCCTCCCATAATGCTGGGATTACAGGCATGAGTCACCATGCTCTGCCCCAATCTTACATGTTTAAAGTTCAGTCATCTTCAAATGACTCTCCATTTGATGCACTACACCTACTGAGATACTTTTTCTACTGCTCAAAACAGTTTTCAATTTGTCAATTTTGATGCTTTTTAGTGCTTCTGCCATTTTTTGTCTCACCTCTTCCACACTGGCAAAACACTTCCCTTTGAGGATGTTTTTTATCCAAGGAAACAAAAAAAATAATGTCTCTGGTGAGATCAGGCAAATAGGGAGGGTGGGACATGGGTGGGTCATGCCGTTTTTGGTCAAAAACTGCTGAACACTCAGCACGGTGTGGGCAGGCTATTCATGTAAATCACTCAACATGAAATGAGCATATGCACTAAAAGAATCTCCAAAAAAAAAAATTTCACTGAAGCCAAAGGCAATCTCTCACAACAAAACTAGCTGGTACTCTGATGCCAATGGGTTCCTAGAACACTTACCTAGTAGGGGAAGCCTATACTACAAGGGGCTCACACTCCAAAAAATAATTCTGGTTTCTTTTGGGTCCCCTTGTATTATATATATATATATTTCCAGAGCAGCACTCTTGCTTTGCTTTATATGTATATATGTATATATACATACAGAAAGACTATGCTTCATACACACACACACACACACACACACACACACACACACACACACACACACGTACAACACACGATGGGCTTCCATATCTGACAAAATGCCTCTGACCTGATGAGACATGAAAGCAATGCTCTCCAAATTTGATTATGGTCCCCAATAACAAAAAGTTTTTGAATGCTGAAATGTATATACATATATACAATCTATATGCAAACAAGTCTTCTTTTCAGGTTAGATAAACACATTACATGCACTGCCATCAATCTATGCATCAGACTTAAACTTTTCCTTTTTTTATTTTAGTTAAAAGATAAAAATCATAAATAAAGAGAAGTTATAAATGTTCCTTCCTTTCCCCCTTGCACAGCCCATCACAGAGACCTCTGTATTAGGGCATAGTGCTAAGAACAGTGGCTTTGGTAACCCTAGTACCCATTCTTCCATTCACTCCCACTTGTGACATTGCTAAAATGGTCTATGAAACCGGGATACTACGAACACCTACTTTGTGAGCATGTAGTATGGATTAAGTGAGATAAAGACGCAAAGAGTTCAGCACAGAGTTAGCCCTTGGGAGAGGTGAGCCACAACTTGCTTTGTGCCATTTCTAAGATCCTCGTCCAAGGCCTACATCCTTCCAGGCCTTTCTCCTCGCATCGTTCAACTTGGGGTCTGCCTAGCGACATTTGGTATTAGAGAAGGCACAGCTTCATGACTATTCCCAAGGGCCTCTTCTGAGCACAGTGTAGGTATGTCTTACCTCCAGTAACTTGAGCTCAGGGGATGAGCGAGCAGAACAGTTGGAACACCCCTTAGGAGCTTGTCTGTTTCCCACTTGAAAGAACTGAGTTCCAGAGAGGAGGTGTGTCTTACCCAAGAATCACAGGCCCAGTAAAAAAGAGCAAAGACACAAACCTGGGAACGCTGAGGCTCAGGGTGCGGCCTGATCCCGGCAGATCACAGGCCTTGAGATGACTAGTCTTGGGCAGATATAGAATTCATTAACAGAAGGAAACAAACACAGACAAAGCCACCTAGTGGTGACTGTACTCAGTAATCAGTATCGCAGGAACTTGGTGAACGAGGTCATCAATACCTACTACAGTTGGTTGGAAACCTCTTGCAATTAAAGAGAATTTGGCCTTCGACTCCCAGGAATAAGTACAAAGGCACTGGAAATCAAAATCTCCAAGAGTGACCATCACTGAGCAGGATATTGATACTCACAGGGCAGGATGTTTTTATATCTATTTTTGTTTTTATTTTCTTGCCTCTGACCCTCTTTTCGACTGTAGAGAAGTTTGCACTCCTGTTGTTGTAGTGTCTAGAAAGAAAGAAAAGTAAATATTATTATGTGTCAGAAGATCAAAAGAGAAAAAAGTGCCTGGCTCAGCATTTCTGCTTTAAGGAACTCATCCTAGGAAAGACCGAGAGTCGTGATCAATAGCTACAAGAATGTTCATCTCAACGCTGCAATAGTGGCAGGACACTGGGAACCACAGGAACATCCTACAGCAAAAAGTCAGCTAAATAAAACTAGCATAGCCAGGCATGGTGGCTCACATCTGAAATCCCAACACAGAGAGTCTGAGGCAAAAGGATTGTTTGAGCCCAGGAGTTCGAGATCAGCCTGGGCAATATAGCAAGACCTCACCTCTACAAAAAATCAAAAACTCAGCCGGGTGTGGTGGTGTGTGCCTATAGTCCCAGCTACTAGGAAGCCTGAGGTGGAAGAATCACCTGAGCCCAAAAGGTCGAGGCTGTGGTGAGCTATCAGCATGCCACTGCACTCCAGCCTGGGGCCACGGAGATAGGCCCCAACTCTAATTAATTAATTAATTAAATAAAGCTATCATTCATCCATACAAAAGAATGCTTCTAAGACCATTTAAAAAGATGTACTAGGAAAATATCTCATGCCTTGGAAAGATGATCAGAATTAATTGAAAAGAAAGTCAAACTTCCAAAACAGCATATGATGCAAACCATATGCTTGCATTCACCTACATACAGAAGAAATGACAGAAGGAGCCAGGTGTGGTGGTACGTGCCTATAGTCTCAGCTACTTGGGAGGCTGAGGCAGGAGAAAAGCTTGAGCCCAGGAGTTCAAGACCAGCCTGGGGAAACAGTAAGACCCCCATCTCAAAAAAAAAAAAAAGTTTAAAAAAGTAAATGGCGGCCAGGATCGGTGGCTCAGCCTGTAATCCCAGCACTTTGGGAGGCCAAGGTGAGTGGATTGCCTGGGCCCGTGGGTTCGAGACCCACCTGGGCAACTTGGTAAGACCTCATCTCTACAACAAATCAAAAATTAGCTGGGAGTAGTAGCGCACGCCTGTAGATCTGGCTACTTGGAAGACTGAGGTGGAAAGATCGCCGGAGCCCAGCAGGGCAAGGTTGTGGAGGCTGGGAGGGTGCCACTGCACTCCAGTCTGGGCAACAGAGTGAGACTCCAACTCAAAAAAAAAAAAAAAGTAAATGGCAGAAAGACATAAACCAAATGGTGATTTTTTTTTTCAGGGTAGTGGGATGATGTCTTTTGTTCCTTTTCTTTTCTTTTCTTTTTTTTGAACTGTGTTCTCCCCTAAATTTTTTAATAAAGAAAATATGCATAAGACGGCCTTTAAAAATAACAATTATTAAGAATGAGAGCCAGTGAGGATTGGTGTGGAATATATAAATACTAGGTGTGATCCATGTTCCTAAGTTTATAATCTGCCTGCTTTTATCACTGATGAATTCCGAGCAAGCCACTCATCAATTCTGGAAGTTGGATTTCGGAGGACCACATAAGTGGTTTGGTGCCAGTGAATGGCGGGCATGCAAATTTTCTTAGCAAAGCTCTGGCGTACTCTGATGTCAAAACTCAAGTTAGTGCCACAGGCTGCCAGCTTGCACCTACATGGACTCCTGTGTCCTCCCCAGAAAACCTAGCAAGATTCAATAAATCCAGGGAACACAGAGCCAGAGAGTAAGGATGGGAATGCCCAAGACTCCTCAGGCAAGTGGTCAGGAGGGACACCTCTGCAGGTAAAGGAAGTGGGAGACGCAAAGAGAGAGAGGGGGGAAACTAAGCCAGTGACCCCCTTGCGGTGGCCCCAGTGGAAGAGCAATCTTGGGCAAGTCGAGAGCAGGGCCAGCTGCAGATCAGACAGGAGGGCAGCCAAGCCAAGCCATGCACGTTCAAGGACTAGGTTTCATTTACAAAATGGCCCACATCAAAGGGTCATTAGTTTCCAACAAGTCTAGTTTTTAATGAGAAATCACAAATGGGCAAATCAAGACAGTAAAAGGCAGGTTAAGAAAAAAAATGTTTATCTAAAATGCCAACATGGCTACCCCTTAAAGATTTCTACAAGGAGAGACAGTCAACATCTTACAACACAGCAGTTCTCCTTTATTTCCATTTCATTTATCTGAATTTCACAGACAGGTATAAAAATCAAGATTTTAAAATTGGTATTTGACTCTCGGTTTCAAAATGCAATATTCAGCCTTGACACACAGCTCATAACAAAAGTGTTTAGCTAGTTAAAACCCTACAGAAAGATACAATGTATATAGAACTGTGACAATGAAACAGTCATTCAAATTTTCTAAATGAGTTCAGATTAAATAATTAAAGCCATTTACTGTCTCAGAGTAGCCATTTTCTTGAACTATGAGCCAGTCTTACCAAGTAATACTGCTGTTAGGAAGAAAGTTCGATCTTGACTCTTAGGTCATTAAGGTGAGGTTCAAAAAGAAGTTCAGACACTGAACTGACTTCAAACAAAACAACAAAAAACTTCAATGAACAACAAAAAACTTCAATGGGGGAGGGGACTGAAACTAATTAGCAGCTTGATATAAAACAAACTTGGCAGGAAAGCATACAGGGCTTCACTTCTGAATCAAACTTCACATGATACTTCACTTGTGGGGGGCACATGGCCAGAGCAATCACTATCAAAGATGAATTTCCTTCCCTTTCTCCCTGTTTAATTACTCTTCAACTTTTTCTTCCACCTTCATGATCAAGTCCAAGCTTCTTAGCATGACACATGAGGCCTTCTCATCTCTGAGCTAATCAGGGCCTGCCTCTAACCTCAGTCCCTTTTGCTTCACCAAGTTACTTTGTCTGGCTGTGCCTCGGTTTCCTCAAGTATAAAATGAGGATTACCTACCCCATAGGGATGAAGTGAGGGTTAAATGGGATGCACAGACATCGCTAAATAGTGCCTGAAATACAGCGAGCTATGTATGCAGAGAGGAGTCATTGCTATGAAACTACTCCTGCTACACGAACTCCACCCTGGCTTCTTCATGTGTGATCCCTGGGCCAGCAGAAGCATCATGGGAGCTGGTCAGACACAAAGGCCCAGGTGTGGCCCCCGTATTTTAGTCTGGGTGTGATGGTTCACGCCTGTGATCCCAGCATTTTGGGAGGCGGAGTTAAGAAGTAGATTGCCTGAGCCCACGGGTTCGAAACCAGCCTTGTCTCTATAATACATTTTTTTTTTAAATTAGCCAGACTTGGTGGTGCATGCTTGTAGTTCCAGCTACTTGGAAGGCTGAGGCAGAATGATCGCCTGAGCCCAAAAGGTCGAGGCTACGGTAATTGTGAGCATGCCACTGTACTCTAGCCTGGGCAACTGAGTGAGACTCTGACTCAAAAAAAAAAATGCATTTTAACAAGCTTTCCAACTGATTCAAATGCACATTAAAGTTTTAAAAGCACTGTCTATTCCCAGCCATACTAAAATATATTGAAAGGGTCTTGGACTCACCAAATTTTCTCGGGCTCCCATGCTCATCCCTCTGCCTAGAAATCCCTTTCCATGTCCACTCAATAGACCAGCTTTATCTATTCCTTAATATTTTCTCAGCCGGGCTCGGTGGCTCAGCCTGTAATCCCGCGCCTTTGGGAGGCTGAAGTGAGTGGATGGCCTGAGCCCGCGGGTTCGAGACCCGCCTGGGCAGCGAGACCTCATCTCTACAATAAATCAAAAAATCAGCCGGGCATGGTGGCACATGCCTGTAATTCCGGCTACTCGGAAGGCTGAGGCGGAAGGATCGCCGGAGCCCAGCAGGCCGAGGCTGCGGTGGCCGGGAGCGGCCACTGCACTCCAGTCTGGGTGACAGAGTGAGACTCCAACTCAAAAAAAAAAAAAAAAAAAAAAAAAATATTTTCTCTTCTGGGAAGCTTTCTCTGACCCCCTTCTTCTTTTGGGGCACAGTCTGCAGTCCCTCTGTGAGTGCACTTGTCATGCTGATCCCCAGCCATGTCTCCACAAGTCTGGTGACCTTACTAGAGAGCAGGGATCAATTTGTCATGTCAGCAAGCAACACAGTGCCTCGTGCATAGTACCCAGATACTGAGACACACCTGAGGCTTTGTTTAAAAAAAGAAAAAAAGAAAAAAAGACCACTGGCAAACACTGGAGATAGATGTTCAAGACATTTCAGTACCATACGGAGACTTTCTAGGCCTCATCAAAGGACTGGATAAGGATTAAAGAGAAAATCTTTCTCATCTGATAATTCAATCTTACCTACTTAATGGGTAACACCAAGAATCATTTCACAGCACAAAAGACCCTCTTTGCCAGACTCAGTTCAAGGTTCCAGACCATGGAAATCCTTATCAACACTCATGACATTTCATTTTATTATTTACTCATGGCATTTTCACTGGGCCAACTCATCAGGTCCACCAGGGGCTTTTTTTTTTTTTTGAGGCAGGGTCTTGCTCTGTTGCCCAGGCTGGAGTACAGTGGCATGATTGTAGTCACAGCAACCTCGATCTCCTGGGCTCTAGCAATCCTCTTGCCTCACCCTCTCAAGTAGCTAGGACAACAGACACAGACATGCCACTATACCCAGCCAACTATATTGTATTTTGTAGAGACAGGGTCTTGCTATGTTGCCCAGGCCAGTCTCGAATTCCTGCCCTGACACAATGCTCCCTCCTTGGGAGGTGCTGAGATTATAGGCATGAGCCAATATGCCTGGTTTAGACTTCTCTTGTTCTGCAATAAGTTCCCAATCACCTCTTCCAAGCAGACTTGGGGCTTGAGCAATCCACAGTCAAGACTAGCTACTGGGTCTCAGAGACTTCCATAGAAGACAGACCCAGCACGCCTGCATCTGAGGCACAGCAACTGGCAGTTGTCAAGGATTGATAATGACTAACGGTGCATCTCTCCACAGCTCCATCCCAAGTGCCCATTAGCCCTTCCTCAGCTGCACCTGGGACTCCAGTTGCCTGAACACATTTCATTTTCCACAGAGGAAGGTTGCCATCCATCTAGAGTGAGACTGAAAATACAAACCACTCGGAAGTT